CCCCCCGCCGCGCGCCGGGGACCCGGGCTGGCGCGGCCCGCGCGGGTCGCCTCCCGCCCAGCGGTCCGCTCCCCTTTCTCCCGCTCGGGCTCCTGAGTTGGTCTCCCCTTTCTCGTCTTAAGGCCTCGCAGATCACCGCCGGCCCTCCCCGGCTTCCCCTCCTTGTTCTACACTTCTCCAGGCCAGCCCTGCAACTCCCTCTCTCGCGGGATGATGCTTAACTGTCCCCCGGACTCGTCTGCCCTGGGGGCGAAGTCTGGAAGGTGGGGACTCTCGCCACACAGCCTGCTGTCCCCGTGGGCCACTTTTAAAGGACAGAAAAACAAAGACCCCGGGCTGGGAGCCTGGATCCAACGTGGTGCTTTTCCTTGAGCTCCGAAGTGGCTCTGCCCTGATTTATTTGCAGCGGCCCATACTAGGAACGATTATCTTCCCTCCTTCCTCTATCGGCTGGCCCACATTCATCTGCTCCTTTTCAAAAGGCCCGGCGTGGACCTATAACTTAACAGGAGTTCTCACGAGGGAACAAAGGAAGAAAAAGAAACTGGAGCACTCCCTAACACCCCAGCATCCCTTCTCGGTGGGGTAAACTGAGTCTTCCCACCCACCTCCCGCCCTCCCCCAGCCAGCACTGCGCTCTTGTGGAGTCACTGTCTTGACTGAAGAAAGAGCGTGGGTGGATGAATGATTAGCTATTATGATCTGCAGAATATTTTGAGCTTCAGTGCTATAACTGGGGGATTTTTTTAACGGAGTTGACGGTGTCTTCGCTATTTGTTTTCTGGGACTTGTTGCTCATGAAGACCCACCAAAAGCAGAGACTGGTGTAAGATTTTATGTTGGAAAGAAAGTAAGGCTGAAGGCTCTTGCTTTATTATTGCTCTCAACTTCACCACTCTTGAAAAGAAAAGAAAAACAAAACACCCCTTACTCATCCTAGAGAGTGAGACTCCAGGAAGACCCGATGGTAGCCCAACTCCTCAGTAATGGCCTCCCGCCTGGGAGGGCTGTGTGCCGGTCTGTGGGCAAGTGGGAGGAAGAACAGGATGACCACGGGTTTCCAACGTGCAAAATGCATGTACAAGTACAAAAAGGTGCAAGTGTGTAAGAATTACTCCACTTTTGCAAGTGCAGAGAGCTGCGGACTACTCTTCCTTATATGCTCCTCCTTTATTTCACATTCAAATACTGCTTGTGCTTCAAACACGTGAATGCAAAAAACACATCCTAAGAACCCCGGTTCACCCGGCGGCCAAAAACAAATGTAAGAACAGCTAATTAATCAACAAGTCGAATAAACTAAATACCTTGACTTCTACTTCAGTCTAAAAGCACATTTGGAATAATGAAGATCTTGCTGGTCATTTCTAAAAAGATGAGAACAAAAAGCAGCTGATCTTCCCCCTATGCCCATCGGAATAGCTAAAACAAAAGAGAAGGACTAGTACTGCCTCCTCTCTGTCCCAATTTCCTAACTAGATTCCTGGTGAAAACAACTCTTTCTGCTTTAGTGGGCATATTTCGCAGAATTGGTGGAGGAAAACAAAACACGCTGCCCTCGTGTGACTTGAATAATGCCACACTGCAGTGATTTCTAATCCATGTTAACACCAACCTCCTTTTCCAAATGAAATCATATGTGGAATCCCAAAATAAAAAGGAGAGAGTTACTTAGGTTGAGTTGGCGTGGGGCTTCGGGTCTCAGAGTTCCAAGTCTTTTCCTCTTATCCCCCACCCCCATCTTTTGCAAAGGTTCCTGAGATTTTAGTAAGAACCGAAAGGCCTCCAACAGTTCTGGAAGTGCTGTTGTAATGATAAGCAAGCACTTAGGGACTACGGTCTGTCCTTCTGGCCGTCTGGAATTCCAACACTGTAGATTGACTTACTACCACCTCTTATCTTTTCCTTTTTTCAGATGCAAATATCTTAAGAAATTTTAATGTAGTAAGTCGTCAGAATAATTAAGCTTTTAAGACTTTTTTTTTCTTTTGCTACAGTGAAGTAGGAGACTTGAAGATACCTAAAATAGTTCCCTGCCGCTGTTTTAGCAACTACTATGAAGGGGTGGGGGCTTAAACCAGAAATCTATTGTCTTACAGTTTGGGAGGTTAGAAGTCCAAAATTAAGGTGTCATGTAGGGTCATGCTCCCTCTGGGACCTGAAGGGGGAAGATCCACCCTTGTCTCTAAGGGGCGTCTGGTGGTGGCTGTCAACCCCTGGTGTCCCCTTGCTTGCAGCTGCTTTCCTCCATTTCTGCCTGTTCCCCCATGGTGTTCTCGCTCTTCTTGTAAGGCCCCCATCACATTGGATTAGAGGCCCACCCTACCCCGGTGTGACTTCATCTTAAGGAGTTACATCTGCGACCACTCCGGTAGCTTTCTGAGGTTCCTAGGACGGAACTGCAACGTTTCTTTCTGGGGGACGGAACTCCCCCCTGAGTGAGATAGTGAGAAGAGAATGAAGGACCTGCCACCAGGAGGAGAAAGGGGGACACTGACACTGCATTGGCTCCCCTGCAGGCTCCTTCGCCATCATCTGTGCAGTGCTGTAAGTGCCATTCGTTCTCGGCCTCACCGTTGCAGCTCTTCCATCTCACTGCATGGTTGCCCACAATTAATTACTGGGAAAGTTCAAGGAGCTTTTTGTTTGTTTGTATTTTTAATTTTTTAGGTGTTTGCTATAGAGTGCATGTATTCACCGGAGAGAGACAGAGAGAGAAAAAGTGAGAAATCACCTCCCCCGGGGGCAGGGGCAGATGGCCAGCTCACAATTCCTACTCCATTCTCCTCTCTGGATTTTGGGAACACACAAGCACCCAGAGTGATTTTCAAACTGCCAGATCTGGGACTTGAACTGCATTCATGCATGTGAGAGTCCAAAGCCTTAACCACCATGCCACCCGCTGGCCCCTGGGGGGATACTTATTCTACATGTACTGGTAAACTTCCCATCACAAGTGACAAAATTCTCATCCCAACTCAAATTGGCTTTAATAAAATGGAAAAGGGACCGAGCGAGTGTTTCACTGACTAAAAAGTCCAGGGTATGTAGGCCTCAGGCACAGCAGGATCTAGGGGCTCCAAAAGTGTCTGCTGCGTTCTGTTTCCCTCCTTCAGTTCCACTTCATATACTTCCTACAGACTTTCTTTAGGCAACCAAGGAAGGTGGCTAGAGGCAGCTGCACTTTACATAATCAATCTCACGGTGTGCATTCCCATAAGATAATCACTTTTTCCAGGAGGATGGGATAGTCCTCTCGGCCAGGCTCATCCCTTTAGGCTTCCTTCTGACCGCCCTCATTTCCTGGTCATCGTGCTTCTGCATACACCACACCAGCCAGTGTGAGTGTCGACAGTATCGAGGAACACAGGCAGATCCCTGGCCACGGGGATCTCTCGGGAGCATCCCAGCAAGGGAAATGCTCCTAGAGGTAGCGCAGAACGCAGAGCGGATGGCCTGAGCTCCCCCACGCTGACTGGCCGCCTGCCAGAGACCAGAATGCTTTTAAGTGCATCGTACACACAGCCCTTCTGAGGGTCTCTCACTCGGCGCCCGCCTAGGGTTGCTCTTCCATCTTCCTAGAACGCTGGGATTGTAAATGGAACCCAGATGTCTGCTGTGTCCCTCTTCACCTTGGAGATGTAGTTAAAATTGGCTTGGACCTCAGCCAATCCCACAAGTTGGGAAGATCTAAAACCTCTCTCTAACCTTTCTCTTCTGATTCCTGCAAATTTCAGGGTCTGTGGACACAGTGGGATGTTGACCTGTAACCTACAATCAGCCCCTCGTCTGTTCCCCAGGAGACCCGCTCCCAGTGTGCATGGACAGAGTTTGGTAGACGGCACTGATACTTTAAGGCACCCAAGGATGATCTTCTTCATTATTTCTTTCAAAAATAAACTAATTCTGTCTCAAACAGAGCAGCTTAGTGACTATGTTTATTTCTTGTGGTCTAAGAGTGTATTCATGTGACATGCCGGTCTCACTTGGCTGTTAAATACCTCGTAGCCTGGTATGCGTGCCTCTGCCTTCATGTTCGCGGCTC